CTGAGGCTGTAGAATCTGGGCCTGCTTACTTACTGCCTCTCCCGGGGGCTCCTGCTGCTCTGGGCCGTCAGACCAGCTCAGGGATGAGAGGAGGGTGGGAGTAGAGAGGGGTGCCACAGGCCCCAAGACAAAGAGAGCTGGGTCTCTGGGTGTTAAAGGGCAAGTCACATTTGCTCACTGAGAGTGGAAAGGGGTAGCATTTCCAGTTTTAACTGATATGAACATTTAGAAGCAAAGAAGATGCTGAAATGTTCCAGACTTTGCCCGCATTCTCGCAGGACCCTCTGCCCTGCATCATTTCTCAAATGGTGGAATCCTGGTGTGAATGCTCTGCAAGGGCCCTTCAGAAGTGACCCTGTTTCAGGTAACTTAGCCAAGTCTTGCTGATGAAGCACTCCGAGTCAGGGAGAGTTTAGGTAACTTGGCCAAAGTGACACAGATGCTGACCAAGCAGCTTAGATGTACTGGAAAGGAGGTCAGATTTAAGTAGAGAAAGAGAAACCAAGATCTTCCATCTGCTGGGTCATTCCCCAGATGGCCACAACGGCTGAAGCTGAGCCAATCCGAAGCCTGGAGGAAGTGCTTATTCTAGCTTTGATGTAAGACACCTGGTTGAGACTTCTGAGTTTAGCATGCCTCACTCCACCTGCCAGCTGATTCCCAAATGAGATCATTGCATGAGCTATCTGTGGTCAGGGCAGTTCTCAGGAGAGTTTGGAGGCAATCACCATGAACCTCAGTGATACTCTTGAGAAGGAAGAGTGAGCATGAGCTGCCTGAATTGTGTTAGTCTGTAGTCATCGATACTTTTAAAATTTTTTGAATTTATTTATATAAAGGGAACAGATTTCATGTGTTTCATATATACCATTGTTCTAAGTATAAGTCAGAATTACAGAGAGAGGAAGATGGCTCAATGGCTAAACCCTCACCTTGCAAACACCAGGATCCCATTTGGACACCAGTTCATGTTCCAGCTGCTCCATTTCCCATCCAGCTCCCTGCTTGTGGCCTGGGAAAGCAGTGGAGGATGGCGCAGAGCCTTGGGACCCTGCACCTGTGTGCAAGACCTAGAAGAAGTACTTCCTCCTGGCTTCGGATTAGCTCAGCTTCAGCCATTGTGGCCATTTGGGGAATGACCCAGCAGATGAAAGATCTTTGTCTCTCTTTCTCTCCATAAATCTGATCCACCTTTCCAATAAAATAACTAAATCTTAAAAAAAGAAAGATATCTTCTACTTGATGGTTCATTACCCAGATGGCTGTAATAGCTGGGGCTGAGCCAGGCTAAAGCCAGGAGCTTCTTCTGAATCTCCCACATGGGTGCAGGGACCCAAGGATTTGGGCCACCTTCTGTTACTTTCCAAGGCCATTAGTAGAGAGCTAGATTGTAAGTACAGCAGCCAGGACGCCAACTGATGCCAGTGTAAGATGCCAGTGTAATGGGAAGCAGCCAGCTGTACCACAATGCTGGCCCCTCATACATATCATTTTAAGAACATAATGGTACTTCCCTCTCTGCCTCTCTGCTTTTCCTCACCTCCATCTTCTCACCTCTTCCTTTCTTATTTTTCTTCTAATTTTTGCGCGGACATACTTTCAGTTTGTTTTTTTAATTACAGATTTAATCCTCCACTAAATAAAGAGCTCAGCACTGTTGCTCAGGAGTATAGACAAGGGCTACAAACAGTCATCAAATCTCAGGATTTCAGGTTGGCAGTTTCACTCATATATGTTACATTTTTGGAGTACTCTCCATATTAGTCATCACACATCAGAGGAAATGTGATGTTTGTCTTCTTGGTACTGTCTTAGAAGTAAGCTTCAAAAGGAACGGAAAATGCATCTGTAGTCTTGTTCTGGAGACGAGGACTTACTAGCATTGTGGAGCTTCCAATTTCGGCATTCTCATTTCAGAGAACATGGTGAACATTCATGAAATCCACAGGTGTGCCTTGAAGCCCTCAGTGTACTGGGTGCTGGGCAGAGTGACAGGACTCGCTCATCAGACTACCCAGGAATTACCACTGTAAACATGAATTCTTCCAGTCTTCAAAAAACATCTCTGCCTGTGACATCAGGAGGACCCGAGATATCTGTGCATTGCGGCATGTGCTGTTTTAAACTCCCTTTCCACTTTGTAACACAAGCATTCATTCTTTTCAGAACAATCCAGTTATAAACATCACTTTCATGGTGAAGTGGAAGTCCATCCAGTGTCGTCATGCTCTCCTACTTTGCAAGATATTGCATTTCTTTTTTATTTATATATTTTGTCATGACAAATAATACTGTGATAAGCACATTGAAGCATATGACCTTGCTGGGTGTTACCGCCTGTTTCTAACAGACTCCCAGAAGCACATGAATCAAAGCTTAGGAACATTGTGAAAGCCACTGACCCATTCATATAGCCTGCTCTTTGAAATTTATTCATGTGACTTGTGCCAGTCCACATCACACTAAGTGAAATAAATAAGTCCGAGAGAGACAAGTACTGCACAGTCTCACATGGGGAATGAAACGTGTCAAGGTCGTCGGAGTACAAAATGGCGCTTCTGCAGGCTGGGATCTGGGATGGTACTGGGTGGACGAAGTGGAGACAGTGGGCAAAGGGTACAATGCGAAGTAGGTGTACATGGTGGGTTCTGGTCCTGTGCTGCATAGCGGGTGGCCACTGTTAATAGCAGTGTATATTTTAAACCAGTAGAAAAGATTTGAAATGTTCTTACCACAAAGAGGTGAAAAATGCTTAGCTGATAGATGTGCTAATGGCCTAATGTGATTATTCCTCAGTGTGTACTTATTTCAAAACACTCCTCAGATCTATGTCATTATTTGTCAATTAAAACGAAATAACTTAAAACTTGAAATCTACATAGCATAAGAAACACAATATTTGTAAGAGTACAGTGGTAGGTGTGATAGCAACAGGAAGAGGATACAAAAGAAGCAGGGCCCGAGAGTAGACGAGCGTAGTAGTGCACAGCAGCCCTCTGCGGGACACCCGCAGCAGAAGCTTGCAGCTGTCGCATCAGAGGGAAGTGACTGCAGGACTGACAGTTCCCAAGATGCCCCGTTAAACCACATGTTCAGCTGACTGCTCCTGAAATACGCATCGTTAACTCACGAGCAAAACCACTCCTGCCAACAGCCCTTCTCACAGACTCACCAGCTGCATGCCAAGGTGTTGCCTCAAACCATCTTCCCACCCCTACCCCACCCCTGAACAACAACTGAGAAACCGAACACCTCACTGTCTCAGTGGTCTCTTTCCCAGGACACATGTGTTCTTGTTAGGTCTGATCTTCACTGTGTCCTAAAAAAGCACAGGGCGGTCTGGTCTGCTTGAGTGCAGTTCAGTATGTTAGTCTGGAGAACAACAGCACCAAATCCTTCAAGCTTCGAGGCTACCAACGGCCACCTATGGGTGCTCAGCCACTTAACTCCTTCCTAGCTGAAAACTGGATGACTTAGAAATGCAAATGCTTCCCTGATAATCATTCTGAACTTCTACAATATTCCACTCAGAAGATTACACATGCCCATCCAGGTCCAAACTCTGGGGATGCTTGAGGCTCATATTAAATGGCACAGTATCTGCATGGTATCCGTGAACTTCCTTCTCTGCGCTGTCAGCTCCTCCTCCGTTGTCACCCACACCCCCTCCTGACTTCTGGCTTTGTTCATCTCCTCCTGCAACTTCCCTTCACTCCCCCATGCTACCTCCCAGACAGACTGAGCCATGAGCCCGGGCCAGCGTAGGCCAGCCCTCATCAACTTTGCCATCCTTTCTCTTCTTGTTCCTCTGTAGGGTCATCAGACCCCTGAATACCTGGGCACCCCCAGCCACACTTGAATCCTTGGTCCCTCATGCCCTTACAGATGTGTCCTTTCTCCCTTTTCTATAATGCCTGCCTCTGTGGTCACCTCCTGCTTGTCCCTTCCCTCCACCACCATGCAGCGCCCCTGCACTGATCTCTTTTCCCATAGGCCTCTGATACATAGCCTGTGCTACAAGACTTGCACTTGTCTTTCTGTCTTTCCCATTTAGCCCATGAGGCCCATCCAGAGTGGCTGACCCCTGGCTTGGCCCTCTCAGTCCCCCCAACACAGTGGCTATTTGACAAGTGCCTGTTGAGCAACTCTGATACTCATGCAGTTCGGCTTCCAGCCTTGGTGGCCTCCAGGAGCTGGGAGTTGGGCTATTTCTGTTGCTTTGCTGGGAACAACTGTTCAGCTTCGCCTCCCGCTTTATGCACAAGGGTCGTTTCCACTTTGCTGCCCTCTCAGCCTTTGGGCAGCCTCAAGGAAGGTTTGGCTACTGACAAGGGCCAGAAGAGCTGGCCTTTAGAATAGTGTAGAGGACACTTCTGTTGGTGTGTAAGGCACAAGCCCCGTGCCTGCCCCCAAGGGCTGCTCCTATCCCAGATTTAGAGGAAAGTCACTGTGTCCTGACGGGCATGCTGGTAACCCCCTACCAGGAGCCATCTCATCTTACAGGCCTGGCCCCAGTGCCAGCTTTCAGGCTGCCAGATCTCAACTTGACACTTTGTGCCTGTCATCAGCCTGGCTGATGCCCCAGCCCCAGGCCAGAAAACCTTTTTCTCAAGGATAAAAGTAGCTGACCTTTGACTAGCCGCATTGGCTGAACTGCTCATGCCTTAAAAGGGAAGCCACCGGTCTGCCAAGGCTTATTTGGCCACGGGATGGGAGCTAGCAGAAGGGTGTGTGGCTAGAGATGCATTGGCAAACAGTTGTTGTTCAAACCGCCATCTTTGAAAATGTGTGTGGGGGAGGGCCTCTCCAGTGTGCTGGTGGCTTGTGCCATGGCCTGCGTGGCCAGATGATTCCTGCTTCCCTCTGCTTCCCACATAGGCCACAGTGGCACCCACACCACTCAGAGCAGCACCTTCCTTGACATGTGTGTGCCGGAAAGGCGCCAGGATGAGAAGGACGCACAACAATTCTTAAATGTCTGGATTTGTGTTTTTGTGTAGGGGTGACGGGCCAAAGATTGATCTGGTGGGCAGTGCACTCTCGGGCATCCTGGACAAGGACCTCTCGGATCGTGGCAATGACATTGGTGAGTAAGGACAGCATTCTTGCTTCTCTTTGCAGTGAGGAGCAAGCTAAGAGCCTGCTGTGGCCCTTTCTGGAGTGCGATGAGAACTAGCGCAGGCCGTACGGTACCAGGGTGCCAGCCCCCACTCAGCGGCAGGTGCTACGCTTTGGTAAAGTGGGGGAGGTGATGGTGCTGCTCACCTGATAGAATTTTGGAGACTTTCTCCCTCCCTGACCTTTCCTTGGTCAGGCCCGAGGAAAACACTGACAAGTAAACTTGATTGAAAAGGAGGGCATTCCCACTGCTCTTCGTGTTTTTCCCCAGCAGAGAGGCAAATATTTCCACCACAGAAGAGCAGGGTTCTGCCGGTGGTGCCTGGCAGGCAGAGGGCATGTCAGGGCTGCCACTTTACAGTGGGCTTGGGTGTGGTCATTGTTGCTTGGTTCAAAACATGAGAGTTTTTCCAAGGTCAAGATGCCACCATGTGATAAACAGGAATGCGGCTAAATATGTCCCTGTGGCAACCAAGGTTGCAGGTGTTTCTGAGGGTGTGTGGGTGAAGGGGGGTCGCTCCGCTGGTGTGCTGGTGGCCTCTGGCAGTGAGAGCAGGGCGACAGGCCCACATTCGGGGATGACATCTTTTTGTTGAAGGTTGGCCTCTTGTAGGTATAAGTTAGTATACAGTATACTAACTTATAGCATAGTAACTTATACTGCAGAAGGCTGCATTTGGAATTTGCCCAAGTTGTAAGAGATAAGATGGGATCATGTGTGTGCCCTTTGCCCGCTTGCCCCTCAATGCCCATCACACAGGGCTGTGGTACAGCAGCACCAGTAGATAGACAACCAGGATACTGACAGACCATCCAGCAGTCTGACTTAAGTTCTCCCGTTTTGGCCATAGTTCCACACACGCCCGTTGAGTTCTGAAATTGTATCACACTGTAGATTTGTGTCTCCACCACCACAGTGCGTATGCAAAAGATCTCTGTCACTCACAGGATGGTCTATGCTGCCCTTTTATGACCACACCCACCTTGTCTGCCTGCCCCTTTTCTGACCTCTGGCGCCACCCCTAGAGTTTTGCAGCATCATCTGTGTTGGCCGCTGAATTGGGAAGCAGGTGTCTGACAGTTGGCAGGTCTTAGAAGAGCATTGGAGCTCCCAGCATGAACATTTTCCTCTCCTGGCGTTATCTGTGTGTTCGGGTGCTAATTTCCACCCCCACCTCCCAGGCCTGCTAATAGAGTCACATATCTGTAACGACTGAGCTGCAGTATCTGGGGATAGGCTGTGCCACTGTGACTGTAAATGCCAAGGGACTGACCCTGTTTCCCAAGCTGCTTCACAACCTCATTCAGCCTTTGGGAATTCCATTCAGGAAGCATAGCCTGGTGGTTTGGGCTGATGCAATAGCAACAGAAATGCTAGCCTGCTGGAGCTTTTGATCTGGTTCAAGGGCAGGGAAGAGTGGTGATCAGCTGTGAATGAGAAGAAATCATCCGAAGAGCCTGATTAAGTTCTAGTTCTACAGCTGTGCTTTAGCATTTGGGCTCTTTTTCTTTATTGTTTTAAACCAAGGTACTTGAATGACAAGATACTGGTGCACGTCATGGTGTAGACCCCCACAGGAGGGGAGGTGTTCTCCCACCTCCAGAACCTATAGGACCATGTGTCTTGTTTCTCAGAAGCACTGCCTTTTGACCTAGCTCTGAGTTCAGAGATGTGCAAATTGACTATCACCATAACAAACGATTTGCAGCCCAACAAGCTGGTTTGGAAGTGGCAGGGTATTTACTGGATAAGACAGAGTTAGTGTTTAGAAGCTTTTCTCACTGTGGTGACTCAACAGCAGTTTATGTATATTTGACGGCCCAGAAGGACAGTGGCTGCAGCTTGCGTCTCCTTTTGCAAAGAAGACATTCCAGGAGGCCATAATTTCTCAAGTTGTCCATTTAATGTATATATCATTTGCATTGCAAGAAATCATGATTGGTGGTTTGGTGAACCTACTTCTCAAGGCTGCATAGGGATCTATTCTGCATGTACAGGCCTGAGCCGGCACACAGGAAATGATGTGTCACTGAAGGTCTGGCCAATGGCGGCCAAGAGGTGGAGAGCACTGCCATACCGATCATTGGTGAGGATGTCTCCCTGAGCCCCAGGTGGTGGCACAGGCTCCGTGAAGAGGGACACCCTTACAGGGGCACTTCAGAAAGTGTGTGGGGCAGATGGAAATAAGAGATAAGTTTAAGTCTAAAACTCTTTTACATCACGCAGTTTTGTGTGTGTGTGTGTTTTATATAATCCATATTTGCCCATGAGCTTTTTGAAATCTTCTCCTGTGCGTACGTGGAAGTTGTTGAGGTGCTGGTGGGGTGTGGGGTGGCCAGGGAGATCCCCTGGGCAGTGCTCTGTGAGGAGCAGCCTGGGGTTGGGGTGGGGGTGGGGCAACCTGGACCCATCAGCAGAGGGTGGATTTGTAAACCTACCCTGTAGGCCGTGGATGACACTGAAGTCACATCATCATATCTCAAAATTCAGATAACTGATGAAATGTTATGGGAGTGATGAAACACAGGCAAGCCAAGTGTCAGGGAGTCAGGTTACTTGACGGTTGGCGTGCAGGGCAGCAGAGAGAGCCAGAAAGGTGCTTACAGAAGAAACAGGGAGAAGGGACTGGGTAGGGGAAGCAGCCATTTAGGACGGTGGGGGAGGAGAAGCCTGGTGTGTCACTTGAGATGATTTACTACCAGGTGACTAGGTAGGGGGAAATGTCATGGGTAGAAGTGAGCATGTCAGAAGCAGGAGCTGGCTTGGGGCAGACAATGTGTCAAATCTGGCTGAGCATGTTGAGTCTGACACTTGACTAGACTTCCCTAAGGCCTGGGCTGAGGCTGCAGTGGGAGGGCGAGCCGACAGGTGTTGAAAGCAGATGCGGAGCTTCCTAGTGGTGGGAGAGAGAAGGGAAGGCCTGGCATCTAAGCCCTTGGGTGTGTGTGCTGCATCTGCTGCTTCCTGCTTAGTTGGCCTTCCAGACTTGACACAGACGCTCTGAGCTTTGGCTTCCTTGTCTATTGATGCTTCCATCCCCATCAACTTCCAGAACAATTTCAAATCTCTTGGCAGGATACCCCTCCCCCCCCCAAATGGAGAGAGAGCTGGCTACTAATAATGCTGTTTGGTTAGAAGTGGTGGTTTGTTGGTGGTTGGGTCAAGAAGATCAAGCCCTTACCAAGAGAAAAGGGAAAAGAGAACCAAGGGCTGGCGACTAAGCCTCCACCATGGCTATATGAATGGGACAAGCAGGATCTTGCCACATCACTGAGACCAAGGGTGAAGGGATTTCAAGTGGAATGTCTGCAGGTCCAAAGGCAGACATGATCTTTGGACATGGCTTGGTCCAGGAGGAAAGGACAGTGCATACGGTGTGTCTCTTGAGGGCTGCTTTTGTAACATTTCCTCGTTGCTTTGCTTCAAAAGGAGGAAATGATTGTGGCAGAGCATTGTTAGTGGTTCAAACAATAGAAGTTACGTAAACATGGGCTGTGGCAAGAAGCGGAACACAGCCCTACAGGCCATTGGAAACCCTCTGTGTCCGCTATAAATAAATCCATGTTTCCTCTTAATAAAGCTATAATTTTAAATTATTATAATATTAAATTAGAGAATGGGGCTTTTTCAGATCTCGTGTGGGCAGCTACCAGCATCCATCTGCCAGAGATAATTTAGAATAAAATCAATTGGTCCAAGCCCAAATTGTTGATGTCAGTTTGAGATATTGTTTGTATCAAACGACGCAGCCATATTTCAAGTAACTTAATGGAAAATATGGAAGAACTCCAACACAGGCCTGTGCATGAATAGAGATGAAAATTAAATCGTCCAGCTTTCTCTTGGTGATGGAAGAATCTGTTCCGATTGAATGGGAGATTATAGGCCGTGAAGTCAAGTGCCATAACATTTGCTTTTATGATGCCATATATTGTAGTCCCCATCACACAACAGTGTTTATTAGCACTTTGTGCTACCCAGAGATTGTCAGCTCCTCTCTCACTGCACACTTGCCGAGCCATTAGCTTCCAGCTGGGGAGAGGCAGCCTGATTTCACGTCTTGCTCCTGCTGAGAGCCTCCCTGCTCCTCAGTGGTTGGGCATCCGTGCAGGAGCCATGCCTACTCCGTTCTCCTGAAATCTCAGACTGTTCCTGTCTGTGTATATACGTTCAACACCACCAACCCCTCCTCACTGGGGGAAGGTGGCGCATTCCCCTGTGTCCTTTGAACTTGACCCACATGAACTCAAAACTTGACAAAGCATACCTTTCACTGTAGTCAGTTTGAGGGTCAAGAGGTAAAATATGGGCCCCAGGAGGGTTTAGAAGACTGACATCAGCTTGTGTGCTGGCTCTGGAGGGTCCCTGGGCTCATGTGGCCTGGGAGGTGGCAGTGTGACTCCCTAGGCCCAGGGACACTGCTGAGGGCCTCTTCATTTGGCCAGCTGCACAGGCACTCAAGCCGGTCTGTCCTGATGGTTGCCAGCTCTGCACATTTACTGAAAACTGCTAAGTTGAACACTTCAAACTAGTGAGGTGTATTATGTATAAATTACACATCAGTATAGCTGTTAAAAAAGGGTGGGGGGACCCATACTAACTGAAATTTGTTAACATTCACTTTGAGTACCAGTGTTAAAAAAAAAGATGATTCTGTAAGTATGGGGTTTGAGGTGCCCCTTAGCCCCATTTGGCAAAATAGTTGCTTTCAGTGCTCTTGAGTTTATGTAAACAAGTCCTTTGCAAATAGAATTATGTTTTAGATGTGTTAACGGACTCTCAAAGCTTGTGAAAGAACCATTTTTAATGCAAATAAGTCCCCTTAGTGTGTGACATGTGTGGATTGTTTTATGCTGTTTTCTTAAATTGAAGCCCACTCAGATGTTGAGACTTAGCTGCTTGCAGCTGTGGTAATGGAATGATCCCAAAGCTTTTTAAAGGCTTGAGTGTTTCCTAAGCCTATTGGG